GGTGATAAGCAGCAGTGAGGGCCACAGCCCTTGACACGTGGAAGCTCAATTTGTGCACACCTCCAGAGGCCTGGCTCAGAGACCCAGGGAACCTGCCGGAAAAGGGGGTCTGGCATGGGATAGTAAGGCTCTGTGCATCCTAATGACAGTTGGCTTACGGTGAGTTGTAGTTCATGGGCTGCCTTTGTGAAGGCCAGGGTTCAAAGGGATTGCTGCCTTTCCCCATAAACTGGGCCCTGCTATGGGTGGAAGGAAGCGTTGGGGGTATTTGCCATCACATGGACACAGTATTCATTGACTTGACATAGAGCAAAACTTTCCATCCAGCTTCTGGTTGTTTATTCTGCTTGTTATCGAACACCTAGCTATTTGGAAATGTCCAGACTTTTTTTTTTTTTTTTTTTTTGCAATGTGGAAACCAAACATCCAGGTGACAGCCTGGGTCTCTGGCCTTTCACCTTTCCCGTAGGTGTTTCGGTATCGTTAACAGACTAAATCTGCATTCCCAGTTGTCACCTGAAGATAGCTGCGGCTTTAAACATGCACCTCGGAAGACCTAGGTAGCAGAGGAATTCTGAAAAAACCTGTCTGGGCCATCTTTTGTCTTTGTGACCAGGGGCATGGAATGTTTGTGGAATCCACTTTTTTGTATTAGGAGTCAAAGAGTTTAGGCCATTAGCTTTGATCTGCTTTGTTTCAGTTTGGAAATGTTATTTTTACAAGTCTTCAGCGAACATAGTTTTGAAGCCTCGTGCTCTCTAATTCTGTTCCTTGGCAGACGAAAAATAATGATGAATTCCACAAAGATTTGGCCACAGGCAGGAATGAGAAGAAAGGATTGTGTGTGTGTCTGCCGGTGCAGGATTTCTGTCCTCCCCAGCGCTGTCGCTCAGGCTGCCAGAGACTTACAGCCGCGGTGGTTTTGCAACAGAGCAGCTACCACTGAAGGGGGAGGCGGGGGGAGCGGTTTTATTTCACTTTGTGGGTCAAATGTCTGCGATTTCGGTTTAAATTTGAAAAGCGAAGATGAGAAAAAAGTCAGCAACGTGCATAGCTCCACTTAATTGTACAAAATGTACAGCTAACAATTTAGTACCTTTTCATTCTCATTTTAGCTGTGTTTATACAGTCGTGCTTATAGGTTTATAGGTTCAGGGCTATAGTGTAGGCACTTGTAGGGTTGTGTGCGCGTGCGTGTGTATTTCTGTGCAACGGAATCCTGAGTATACATAGTTTTATCCCACCTACTTTTTTCCCCCCTATTTATCAGTAACTGTTCATGATATCTTACCTGGTCCGAACTTAAGAATACCTCATTGTTTTTAGTGATGGTATGCTATTTTGTTGGAATGAATTAACTATACGTTAGTTCATATAGGATGAACTGTGTATTATTAATGACTCTCTTCCTGATGGATTCAGTTTTGCTGTTACGAACGGTGCTCGAAGCAACAGTCTTGTTCGTGTGCCTTGAAGTCATCCTGCTGTTTTCTGTGTAGGCTAGATTTCTAGAAGTGGAATTAACTGGGTAAAAAGAAAAAAATGTGCTGCTAATTTTAATAGGCGCTGCCAGATTATTTTACAGAAAGGTTTTTCTCCATGTTCCTGTTCTCAGTTTGAGCCTCTCTTTCCCTCCAGCCTCACTAAGTACTCCGTGAGGTGGCTCTTCCTAATTTTTGTTAATCAGCTGGCGAATAACAGTGTCTCGTTATTGTTTTAATTTGCATTTCCCTGATTGTTAATGAGGTTAAGCATCTTTTCATATGTTTTTTGGGTATTTACATTCCCTTTTCTGTGAAAGTAGAGATGTACATTTGATCTAACTGGCAGAAGAATGATAGCTCTAAAAAGATGAGGAATATTAGAAAAACACGGTGAAGAGGACATCTGACATTTTTGTTGGAAGGGTAGCGTCTTTAGGTTGACCCTGAATTGGGGTATAGAATTGAAGTGCTTAGAAAAGAAACACAAAAGTCTTTGTGCCTTTGCTCCCCATCTTGGTAGAGTTACTGTTTGTCCTCTCTCAGCTTGTCATTAAGCAACCACTAATTAATGGTAGGATATCCCCTGTGAAAGTGTCAGACGTTCCCACTTTTGGCAGCTTCTAAGGGCGTCCATTTGGAAAATGCCACAGCTCATAAAATTTGGGATTGGTGGTATGTCAAGGAATCAAATACTGGAGCAATGGTGTAAGAAAATAAAAATTAACCGCCCTGCATGGGGCACTATTGATTGAGTACCAAGGTCTCGGAAAGGGCAGAAGCACCTTGTCTGGTCAATGTGTTTCTCATTGTGAAAGCATTTGATAAATGTTAACTTGTTAATATTTGTCGTGCATCTCCAGGAAGTAAATATTCAGGGAGCACATGCTCTTGAAGAGGGATCTTACGTGGAATGCCATAGCCCCGACGAGAGACTGGATCTGACCATATGCCCAGGGGTTAAAAACGGCAGTGGTATGCCGAGCTGCATATGCCAAGATTTAATGTCTTGGGCAGAGGCAGACGATGCCCTCCCTGTGCAGTTCAGGTTCAGCTCCATTTGGAATGTGCTGTGTGCCAAATCTGGATCCAGGCGCAAGAAAGACATTGACAGTTTGGACGGGGTCCAGAGACAGGCACTAGTCATGATTAAGGGCTTATGGGCATGACATTTGAGCGGGGGCTCAAAGAACTGAATATTTACAGCAGGGCTAAATGCTGGATTACGTGGCTTGGTGACGTTAGGGCCTATGGCTTCATCCCCAAGTTACCCTCCGTGTGATTAGTCCTTCAGAGTCCAGGAAAGTCCCATTTCTGATACCCCCTGAGAGCTTGGGGAGAGGGAGGGTCTCCGTGTGGGCCCATCTGCCTCACGTTAAGTCAAGGAGTTAGTACTGGAGTCGTCCATGCTCTTTAGCACACAGCTCCAGGGTTAACACCCAGGGGGCCAGGATTTCGGTAGAGCATTCTCATTGCCCTGGAAAACTTAGCAACCGCCTCTTCTCCTTCATAGCGTTCCCTCTATACACCGTGCATGGAAGGCCTATCCCTCCTAAGAGGATACCTAGCCTCTTGCTTGGGTTCTCCTGTAAGTCTATGGCCCAGCCAAGAGCAGAAGGCAGGTCTTCTCCAGTGGAGGAGACAGACTCTCTCCACCGGGGTCCGATGCCTTCAGATTCATTTTACCGCCAGACTCTTCACCTGGGACAGTGAGAAGGAATATCCCCTCGTCAGCTCCATGACAGTAGATTGAAAGAGTCTTCAGGGTTATACAGGGGAGTTGGTGAGAGGGCAGCAGCTAGGACAGAGGCACTGTCTGCCCAGAACCCACTCTTACTTCAGGGCTTGTACTTGGTGAGGAAGAGTCCAGCCCTCACCCGCGGGATCCTGCATAAGACTGTCCGGGATGAGCAGTGGGCTCGTTTTTGAACTCCTCATCAGTAGCTGCCCTCAGAGAGTGGCTTGCAACAAAGCTCAACATCTGATGTGACACACGTTGGGTGGGAACAGACTCTGATAGCCTCTTACCTCTGTTGGTGCTGCTTTTCAAAGCGGACAGCTGCTCTGCCCTCCTGTTTTTATAATGGAGCATTCATGAGATGATTTTCTTTATTCTCTAGTTCCTTGACTCACTCGTGTGCTTGCAGAGGCTCTGCGGGTATTATCAGTTTTTTGTGTGATTAGGGCAGAAAACACTTGCAGTGCTCAGGGAATCATTCAGAAGGTCAGTTGAAATTCCTGAAATCATAGTTAAGACTGGTAGGGCCCTGGCTTTTTATTTATGTATTTTTTCTCCATGTCTTTAGAGTGCCTGGCCCAAAATACCTTTACAACATGATTTGGATTTGGAGAAAAAGGTTAAAGCCTTGAACCTGCAAGATAAAATCTGCATTTTATAAAAAAGATTTTATTTATTTGACAGAGAGAGAGAGAGAGAGAGAGAGAGAGAGATGGAGAGCATAAGCAGGGGGAGGGGCAGAGGGAGAGGGAGGAGCAGGCTCCCGCCAAGCAGGGAGCCCGATGTGGGATTCTGTCCCAGGACCCTGGGATCGTGACCTGAGCCAAAGGCAGACGCTTAACCGACTGAGCCATCCAGGCGCCCCAATAAAATCTGTATTTTGGTCTTAGTAAGGAAAAGTCATGCTTGCTTGAAAGTTTGAGTCGATGAAAATATTTTAAAAGCAAGGTGGGAATGTTAGAGTCTAGTCTCTTTGCATGTTGACAGAACTGTGGGTAGGAATCACGGTAGCTTATTTTCACATGTGCTGCTTATCTTTGAAAAGTCTCAAGGAGTTTGTAAGCAGATGGATATACAACTTAGGTTTCCTGAGGATTCATTGCTCCCATATTTGGAATTCTGGGTATGTCTCTCAGGAGTATATAGCATCTATTTGGCCACTGCCAGAGATGGGGGCGGGCAGACATGTGTTCCCAGTTGAAACCTCTTGAGACTTCCAGACAGTATCTGAGGGCCGTGGGGAAAGAAACTGGAAGGCTCCAGGAACAATGGAGAATCTAGCTTGTGGGCTCCTCGGGAGAATCGCATTAGCTAAGGAGGGATGGAGTGCTCAGAGCAGTGCCTGGCATATAGTAAGTGCGCATTGGCATTGGCCCTAAATGGTCCATGGGTGCCGTGGGGCCTGAGGGTTCCTAGTGGATGAGCAGCCTTTCAGCCCCTCTGCTCTGGGGCACCGATAGGGTCGCAGGCTAATGTGCAGGTTCCCCCGGCCATTTGGTAGCTCCTGGAGGAACCTTCACACCACGACAGTGACCGACCCACCCTGCACACTTGCAGATCTGAACACGTCCATATTCCCGTTGCTAGACATTCACCTTGATGGTAATGATTGTTTTCATGTGTCTCCATTCTGAGTCCTTACTATGAGGGAAATGTAGAATTCAGGTGATTCTTCTCTACCTTCCTTGTCTCCCTCAACTTCTTTCTAAATCAAGAAAGCAAAGTGCCTGGTATTCTGTGCTAAGATTGTTAAATAAGCACCTTTACTTTGATCTTTTCAGGTGCGAAACCAGCATTGGAGCCTTATTATGGAGAGCGTGGTCCCGTCCGACAAAGGAAATTACACCTGTGTGGTAGAGAACGAGTACGGCTCCATCAATCACACATACCACCTCGATGTTGTTGGTGAGTGTGCTTCTTGCCGTCATGACATCATGAAAACGAGTCCCGTTTCTCCCCATGGTTTAGGGAGAGTTGGTGCATTCTCCTTCTTTCTAAATACACGCTGTCGTTGGAGAAGGGTTCTTCTATCATTTGACAGTGTGCTCTTTCCTGATGAGCCATGTTTTACATATTTTGTGTGATCCTCTTGGTTCCCTTGCATCTTGTGCAAAATGGACATAGTAGGAAAGGTGCTGACATTCTGGAAGCTGAGATTACTTTGAAGAATGTTAGTGTGTTCAGGGAAAGGGTACAGATACACTCTAGGAGGACTTTTAAAGTTTTATTTATTTTAGAGAGAGAGCAAGAGCGAGTGCAGGAGGTGGAAGGGCAGGGGGAGAGAGAGGATCTCGAGCAGACTCCATGCTGAGTGTGGAGCCTGGTGCAGGGCTCGATGCCAGGACCCTGACATCACGACCTGAGCTGAAACCAAGAGTCGGATGCTTAACCGACTGAGCCACCTAGGTGCCCCTAGAACTTTGTTTTTAGAAGAGAGGCACATGATCTAAAGAAGGGCAATTGTATTATGCTGGCTGAAGAGTAAAGGAAAAGGTATGACGATGAGTGAGCTGATAGCTGGCTGGGGCAGGTCAGGGTCAAGGTGCCCTTCACTTGCATCAGGAGAAAGTCATTCGGTATTGTAGGTTCAGCGTTTGTTCCTAGAAAACAATTTCTTCTGTGAAGAGGGAACTGTGTATGGGCTTGTAAATCTCTGAAGTGCTCAGATAGGTAGGCTATTTTAATTAAATATCTTAAGACCATGAGCCTGTTGTCCTGGAACTCAAATTTCTTCCCGTCTTGCCTGTTGTGATGGGTTGTGTTGTAACTGATGAGGAAATAGGGTTTCTCTGTCTTGTTGGAGGATTGGAGATGCCGAGGATGTGTGTCATTGCTGCAGGGATGGTGGGCTAAGATCTTTTCTTTGTGTGATCCATCTTTTCTCTGTCTTGTCATCTACCTGGACTCTGAGGATCACCACCTGGCCTGAGTCCTGGCTGAGGGTCAGCTAACCAGTTTGCCCTTCTCTTTTGCAGGATTGCTGGCTCCTGCAAAAGGTCTTAACTCCAGGCTCTCTCTGATGGATTTTGCCTTAAAGTGACCCTATGTAACTCCACAGACTCATGCCCACCCTCTGTGTCTATGAACAAAGGCTTTCCCCCATCATTTCCTATGCATGTGTCCCTGGTATTATTTCATGTGTGGGCATTTCTTCTCCTTTAAGAAACTAGAAATTCTTTGAAGAAAGGCTCCGTAGCAATTTGAATTGCCCAAAGAACCATGAAAACACCTTCCACAAGCTTGATTAACCAAATTACATAGATTTTGGTTTTTAGGTTAACTGAAAATGAAACAGAAAACCATTTTGATTTTCTATCAAATTAAAATAAATCCATAAGAAACTCTGCCTTAGCATGAGATAGTGTTTATTTCCACATGTATGTTAGAATTCAGTGAAAAAAAGTATTTGTGACATTTTATCTTTATTATTCAGAAGCCTTAATGTGAAATTTGGTAGCTTTTACATAATGTAGATCCTGTGGACATTCATAAGAGACTGAGTTTCAGAACCCTCTTTTCTCACAGAGATATTTGGGGGAGGTTTTTTAGTGGGAATTACTATGTACGGATATTTTATAGATCAAACAGAAAGAAGTAACACTCAACTATGAGAAGAGAGTGGTGAACATTTATTTTGGCATTGATGCCGCCATAAATCTATTGATTAAGCACACAACGTGGAGTTCACGTTGGGCCTCCCATCTCCTGAATTTGACATGAGAGTGTTTCTATTTAAGGAAAGAAAGATTTGGGGCTAAAAGTTCTTCAGTACTTAATTTTGAAACTAAGTAGTTGTGTGAATAAAGTAATTGTGTTGTAGCAGTCCATGGGGGATTCTGGCTTTGCGTAGGTCCACAGATTGCTCACTGGGATTGGCTGGGGACCCGTCTAGGAATCAGGAGTCAGCTTGGCCACCTCAGCCATGGGCTCTCTCGCTCCTAGCAGGTTTTAGGTTGAGTTGTTATGTAAAACATTCAAAAGCCCCTCACCCCACCTCTCCTTTGAGCTTTCTGGCAGCTCATCTCTGTGAAGCCCTGCAATCTCTCTTACAGTTTAGGGCTGGATTTGAATTGGGCTGCTGAATAATGGAATTGTGCTGTCTAATGTTAATCCCCTGGCAATCAGTCTTGTTGAAAAGAGCGTATGATTCAGTGGTGTAATGTAGAGGGAGCATAGAGCGTATGGAGTAATGCAGAGAAAGGCCTGATTATGTCACAAATTTGGGAGATTGCCCAGCCAGACGTGGGCCAATAATGACACAATGCTGGTTGGGAATATCCATTAAAGCTCAACCCCTAATAATTTTCCAAGCCTTGAACCTTCTTTATAAATAGAAGCCAAAAGTCAGTGGAGTATAAGACATTTTCAGGAAAGATGGAGGTGTGAAATACTCTCATCTTTGCTCAAAACCCCAGTAATTGCTTTGAGAAGCACTAATAAAGTAAGAATTGAGTCAGCTCGAGAGTCTCATGTAGACTTACGGGGTTGGCAGGCGGGCGTTCTGAACATCTCAGCAAGAGGCAACAAAAGGGATTCAGGCTTGAACAACGATTTTCTGGTGGCCCACAGTCCAAGTGTAATATACCGCCACGTGATGATAAGCTTCCCAGCTACAGCTGCGTCTCAGAAAAATCAGAGACTCTGTCCCAGTGAAAGTGAAGTCCTGTCCTCATTCACATTCTTCGAGGGTTTATTTTTGTTGCTATGATACATAGGTTTGCAGTTCAGATATTACGAAGCATCAAAATGGGCGAGATCTTTTTATTGAAATTCTTCCTCGGAAAGGCATTCCCATAAGCACTTTCACGTAAAAGCCGTGTAATTTAAGTGACATTCTTGTGTTCTGGAATTAAACAGCCAGCCATTGTTGTGTGTGAGGGAAATGGGAGCCCTTTTAGGAGGCTTGCTTGATCCTCATTAAAATTGACACCATTACTTTTCAGCCATTTACTTGCGAGGGAAAATTAGCGCGAAGTTCCGCATCTCGGTAATTGTGACTCTCGGAAACCAGGCTCCCCTCACAGGGCTGGCTCCGGGAGGTGACGGGTCTTGGCCCTCGTTCATCAGCGAAATGAGGCTGAAGCACCGGGTTCTGACGGCCCTGCCTCCAAGAAGACACAACCTGGAACAGATCCCGTGACCTTGGGTTTCGCAGCCCTTGTGTGTGCGAATGAAGGAGCCGAGACCCATTTACGTCCGCGAAAGGCAGCCTGGTGGTGTGGAGAGAGCAGCAGGGCCCCGAGGGAGTTGTCACAAGTCCCTTAGCCTTTCCTGAGCCTCTCCGGCCTCATCGGGGGAGTTGGAATAATGGTACCTGCTCATTCCCGTGATGGTTGTGTCCGTTTCCTAGGGGCTGCTGTGACGAGCACAAACTGGATGGCTTAACACAATGGAAGGTGATTCCATCTCCGTTCTGGAAGCCGGACATTTGAAGTCAGGGTGTCAGCGGGGTTGGTTCCTTCTAGAGACTCTGAGGGGGCATCAGTTTCACGCCTCTCCCCAGCTTCTGGTGGCTGCTGGCCGCCCTCGGCTTGTGGACATGTCATTCTCGTCTCGGCCTCTGTCTTCCTGTGGCCTTCGTCTCTGCGTCTCAGATCTCCCCCTGTGTGTCGTCTACAGGAACTCCTGTCGTTGGCTTGAGGGCCTGCCCTCCATCCAGGATGGTCTCATCTCAAGATCCTTAACTTAATTAGAAAGATCTTGTTTTCAAATAGGGCCACATTCATAGGTTCCAGGGGTGAGGACATGGACTTATCTTTTTTTGGGGGGGCCAAGTTCAACCCACTACAGTGGTTATGAGGAATCTGTTTGGGTTAACAGATAAAAACAAAAGCAACCCCCCCCCCCCCGCCCCGCACCAAATTAGCATCACGTGGCCAGCAACAAATGCTGGTTTTCTTCCTTCAAACCTGGACTTTCTGGAGAGTTAGAGGGCATTTTTATTTATTTTTATTTTTTTAAAAGATTTTATTTATTTGAGGGAGAGAGAGCATGAGAGAGAGCAGAGGGAGAGGGAGAAGCAGGCTGAGTGGGGAGTCTGATGCGGGGCTCGATCCCAGGACCCTGTGATCATGACCTGAGCCGAAGGCAGATGTTTAACTGACTGAGCCACCCAGGCGCCCCGAGAAGGCAATTTTAATAGCTTTCATTAGACTCCATCAGAAGTTTTATTAAATAAACTGAATGCCATGTTGGGACCCACAGAAGGGGCCAGTGTCTGCCGTTCACGTGTCCTGCTGGGTTTATACCTTTGGTTAATGCAGTCGTCACGGCTGTCCCAGGACTGGTCCAGTTGCAGGATAGGATCGTGGTGTTTGAGAGCTCCAAGTTCCTGAAGGTGGCGTCCACCCTCACCTCCCACCCTGCTGATAGTTGAGGCGATGCGGGATTTATTTGCCAAGTACTTAAAAGAACACCAGAGCGCAGGCCTCCATCTGGGTGTTCTGGAAACCTAGATTAATGCTCCATGCACTGCACATGGGGGTCTCGGTTTTATGTGTCCCGTGGTGTGGACCAGCAGGGACCACTGCTAAACTCTGAAAAGGTGCTGCTGTTACCCCCGCCCCATGTTCAAAACAACGAAGTGAGAGAGAGAGAGAGAGAGAGAGAGAGAGAGAGAGAGAGAGATGAAAGTGTTTAATGGACCAGTTGGTCCTCCTCGCTCATAGAGTCCATCGGCTTTGATTTATGAACTTTTTCTCCCTTTGCATGTCCCAATTCTGCAATCCCAGAGACCATGAGATCTAAGTTTTGAGGTTTTCACATGGCGTTGGATACTTGCGGGGCAGAGTGCAGGGGAGGTTGGAAACAGTGCCTCTGGATTTGCTGAGGTCAGCCATGCCTTGTCATCTATCAGTCTGACTTTCTAGAGTTTTGTCCGCCCCTGGGACAAGAGCTGTAAGCTC